AGAGCGTAACTACCTGGACTAGGGCACATGAGGGAGAGCGAGTCAATCCGACATGTTTTGCCGAGTAGTGGCATGAGCTACCTCTTGTTTTTGCTGTACGCCCATCGAAGGAGGCTGCCGAACACGAGTGGACCCAGCGCGGCAGCACAGCTCTGACGCCGGCCGAGGAGGGGCTTCTGCAACCCGCACCCAGCCGCCCTGTTCCCCACCTCGCCGCACAGCACTGGGGCTGCGCCATGCGGGTCACCAAGGGAGAGTGACAAAACCAGCCATCAGAGGTATCTCCCACTTGCTCTGGTACAGAGGGGCACGGGCGGAGGGGTGAAGGCGATTGTGTGGTACAGAGACGGGCTAACTGTGCGACATCGAGCCGAGAGCAACACCATTTTTAACGGGAAGTGCGGACTAGCTCTTAAAGGAAGCGGTACCTTGGACTTCGTGCAACAGCATTTCTGGAAATGTTTCATTTGTCCTCTGGGGCGAGGTGCAGGCAGCTGCAGTATATTCTCGTCCACCTACAGCCACCAGCCTGTGCACAAGACCCCAGGCTGCCTCTGCCAAGTGTCGCATTCATACCGAGAGCAGGGCATTGAGGTGTCCTGCAGCCGCACGCTGCCCGTTACTGCAGCCAAGAGGCTGCAGCGCATACGACTCTGCAGTTATAAATGCCACTGGAAAAGTAGCATGGTGATCACTTCTCCACAGTCTGTTCCAAAAGAAAGTCTATCCATGAGACATGCACAATAAAGCAAGCAAATCACTACTTGACACTGGAGTTTTTTTCATAATTGTATTACAGAAAAAAAAAAGAGATTTTGCTGTCAAATAATATTTCTTAAGGTTACGGCAATAGCACAAAGTACAAATTCACTATGAATTTTTGTGACTTGTAGCCTTCTCAGAAACACAGCTACTTCCTTGGAAACAAGTACGACAAAAATAATTTACCTCCTAGCGTTCACTGATGAAGGCTGTGAATGCCACTAGTCAAGCTGCCTGGGCAGCCGCCTGCGCTCACCAGGCTTTTAAGAGGGAAGCTGGTGGACAACGGGCTGCTCTGTTGAGTGCTTCTACACATGTACCCTCATTTTCATAATCATGCATCTTCACAGTGCCTCTTTTCAAAGCCGCCTGACCTACATGCGAGAAGTAGCAGTTATTTTCTTGGTGAACTGAATTTCTTGGTACAACTGAATGGTGTACTTTTATTTTTTTAAGAAAGGTCTCTGACGAAGTTAGCAAAGTTGTCTTTTTAATTCTGATATAGAGAGCCCAACAACGCACATTTACCAAAAGTGAAGCAGCCAACTGAAGGAACAGCCAAGCAGCAACGTAGGTGAAGCTTGTATTTGGACAGCACATTCTAATTTAGGTGGGCGGTGGGGGAAGAACATCCTCCCTTCTGGCAATCGTACCTGTCCCA